CTACCCAATTGTTCCCACAACCACATTGTCAGGTCTTCGGCTTACTTTCTTATAGAAGCTCGAGTATGTTTTCCTTTTTTTTTTTTAACTTAGCTAAATTATGTATATTATGTATAATAAAAACCACGCTTTTCCTTTGTGAGGTAGTGCACGTATCTGTATAAAGTTAAATCTACAGAGAGGCACGCGTCAAGCCTCCGACTCTGGGTTGATACCTGTGATCTCTGTTAATGAGGAATGTTTTTACTGTTATTGTTTTATTGTTAATAAAACAGGTCGTCCTACGAAACCGTCTCTCTCGTCAGCGTCCCGGTCATTACTGGCTCGCATGCCACGCAGTTTCCACTAAACAACATCATTTTTCTTGCCTAGTCACAACGACACCGTTATTCCTTGCACACATTCATTGTATTTTTAGTCGGAGTGAAAAAAACTATCAGGTGCAACAACTTCTGGCAAGGCTGAAGATGACTGTCTCTTTTCTGCGGTTGCATAGAAGTGAAATACTGACGGGTTTTGCTCCCCGATATATGCTATTACCAATTTACCATCGAAATGAGTGAACGAAATGTAGTTGGCGTTTGGTTTTCCCACTTGGCGAAGCCGCTGTCAATCTGTAGCATAATGACAGTACCACTTACCAGTGCACCACATCATTAGCTTTTTATGTCTTGTAATAATTTTTATGCATTTTGTGCTGTGTAATAGCAGTACAAAATGCATATTGTCACGGGGTTGTCTGTGTGTGTGTGTGTGTGTGTGTGTGTGTGTGTGTATGCATGTGTGTTCCACATTTTGTCTCACACTTTCAACTCGGGAACCACAAAAACTAGGCGGCTAAAATTTTAGTATAGTGTTCCCGTCCAAAGGCTGACGCGGCAAATTTAAATTCAGCCTTCCCGTACCGCGGGTAACACGTACAGCCCCGTAAAAGTTTTTCGGTAAAATCAGTATCATGGGAACCACGGAAGGTAGAAGGCTGAAATTTTGTGAGCATGTCCCCCGCCCATGTGCTACCCAGAAAACTTAAATTCAGCTTTCCCCTTCCCACGGGTAACAACTACGGCCCCATGAAAATTTTTGACGAATAAATTATCTCTGGAACCACGGAGCCTAGAAAGCTGAAGTTTAGGGTAATGATTCTCTGCCCACCCTCAACCTTGCCTATTCGAATTCAGCGTTCCTGCGCCCTCGGGTATCACTTACGGCCTTGTAAAAACTTTGGCGGGTAAACTATTAGCTCAGGAATCACGGGAAGATATTCACCCTTCAAGGTTTCGAATTCAGCTTTCGTGCACAGGTGCATGAAATTTCTAACTATTTTTCAATGATTCAACTATTTTTGCATAGACTAAAGTACAAAGCATTGAAAATCGTTAACAGGCAATCGTTCGATGGACTGAATTGCACAAAGTGCATGATCGCACCGGCTAGTCTGGTGCGCGTTGCTATTTATTTAAAAAAAAAAAAAAAAGGCAAGTTTAG